TAGAACCCTTAATTTCTGTTATCTCATTGCGGTTCGCCGCTTGGCCCGCTCTCTAAAACAATTCCAGGGCCCACTGGCTGACCCCGAAAAACGTACTTTACGAGCAAACTATGTATTAACTACGTTCAGAGTTGTAGGAGAGACGGGTTTATTGGAATTACGAAGATCGCTTTCGAAACCGGTCGATTTTACGAGTACCCCGAAAAATGTACTCTCGGAGCGGGGCACAGGCTAGAATAATGGAGGAGGATGGAAAAAAAAAGAAAAAGAGGAAAAAAAATTTGTAACAATGGATTATAGAGAAACCATAGAGAAGAAACGTTGACGTGAAACGTTGGACGAAACGTTCGTCCGCTTATAAAATTTTATACCCGGCCATTATTGGCTTCCATTTTCCAGTAATTATCTTTTTATTGCGTTATTCGATCATCGCGCGATCACCTCCTCTATTTATTAGTCCCTGTGCTCTGCCTGAAATGCTCCTTTTTCTATCTTCTTCTTCTTTTTTTTTTTTTTTTTCTTAATATGGTCGATCGATCGGATATATCGGTTCGAAAATGTACTTCCTTCTGTCGGTTAAATATCCAAGGAGAGATTTAAGAAGGAAGAAACTTTTCTTTTGCATCTATTTTTTCCTCGTACGATACTAGAACGATTACGATATACTATACGAGAGAAGTTACGTTTTCGATGAAGCAACAATGAAACATTACTAACATTAATAAAAGAAATATATGGATTTTATTTTAACAATGAAATGAACGAACTATGCTAATATTTATTGAAGCCAAAAACTGATCGGCTGGATTTATTAAAAAATCCTTTACCTTCAAAAATTAAACGATTAACACTCGATAGAGCAATTCTCTTCTTGCCAATTAGAGCACTAAAAACGCGTAGAAATATCCCACAATCGGCTTTTTTCACAAAAAAAAAAAAAAAAAAAAAAAAAAAAAAAAANAAAAGATCGAAACTTTGTCAAAATGTTGCATCTCGTGAACGCATCAATGAGAACGCGACTTAAGAATTGTTTTTAAAGCGCAGAACGACAAGGAAGAACGACAAACCGCGACAAATGGCGACAAACGGTGACAAACGACGAAGTTTGCGCTCCAGCACCGACAATTGACCGTCTCCCAGTGACGAATGTATGTACATCATTTTGCGGCCGCAATCTCGTGCCCGTCAATTCATTAATTAATCGGTGGACAGGCCGCGCGTCGCTCGCTGCGTGCACGTTGCCAATTACCGGCACATTGTCGCGCATAAATCATTAGCAAACGTGACGCTTCCATAATTCGGTTAATTTGCACTGTTTTTGCTCCGCTTTGCCACCGTGTACCGCTTATATTTCAATTTTCTATCGTGAACCAATTCTAATCTCTATTATCGATACAGGATAAAATTATTTCAAATCCGCCGTGATTTCCAATTGAATTCGAAATAGGAATTGGAAATTTTTAAAAAATTTTAGAAGAAAAAGTATAGTAAGTCTTTTGACAAATTGTCAAAATTTTTCCAATCTTCTGTCGCGGATCTATTCGTATTCTCGTTTATCGACACAGAGTATCGTAAATCATATTTAAAATAAAATTCAATTTTCTATCGCGGATCTATTATTATCGATAGAGTTTATTAAATTTAAAATTTGCCATGATTCAGAATTCTGAACGAATCATGGTAAATTCTAAGAGGTTGCTATAAAAGTGTACGCTATATATTCTAATAAATATTTAAGAAAGTGTGTATTTAAATATGGGAATTGCGCTTAAAAGACCGTACACGTCGATCCCTATCTAACACGAATCGTGGGAACGATAAAAATCAGCGATTAATGTCGCGATAGATTAAAACTGTTATCAACATTGAACAATTGAAAAATTTGCAACACGATTTCTACATTGTATATTTCGTGAGCATTTAATTCTTACGTCGCATGATTCTTTTTATTTCGTCACAGTATTACGCGATAACAGAATTACAGAATTAGAAGATCGATAATCGATCCAGATAAACTGAGCATTTTAAAAATAACAATCATTCCTCTCCTTCTTTTTATTCCATTTTCGAATGGTACGCACGATTGATGGAATTGAGAATCGTACGAAGGGGGAATAGTACCGGCAATGGTAAAGTACTTAATAAATCGTCCCGAAAAGATACGACCTTCGTGTGCGTGGAACGTTCCCAAATGCGAGGCTCGTGACTATCGCGGCTTATCGAGATGCGTGTGAGTCAGTCATTAATAAAAGGGTCGCAATGCTCACGGTGAAAAGCGGAGAGAGCGAGGGCTCGTATCGATCAAATAACCATCGGCCGCCATGTGGAAAGACATTGGCTCGGGGGATTTCCGTTTCTAGTGTGAGCCATGGCGTTAATCAACCTTGCAAATTCATCGTCAGAAAAAAAAAAAGTGAAAAGAGAGAAGGAGAGAAAGAATGGAGGACGAAATAAACGTTTATAAAATAAAATTTTCCGATCATTCTTCTTCTCCTTCCTCTTCTTCTTCTTTTTTTTTTTATTTTAAAATTGAAAATAAATTTACACGGTTACATTTATGAGGATGATTAACGAATCCTCACAAGATTATAATTAAAATTTACCTTCGAAATATCGATTTCTATTTATACGTCGAGAGAGTTGGTTCGAGGAAAGATTTTAATAGAGGAAAAAAATTCGACCTATGAGCACGGCGTAAGTTGTGTACTAGTTGCCGAGATAATACGTATGCGTACATTTGTTACGTGTCCAACATCCCGTGCGTCCAGGAAGTTTCGTATCGAATTTATCAAAAACACGACGGGAAGCCTGTTATAAGATGATAGGCCAAGGAGAAAGTGAGCCAGTGTACGGTAAACGCTGACAAAAATTCTAATAAGAACAATTACTGTGAAATCATAGTTGCCTTGGCGATACAAAAATTCGAGCATTACATTCACAGTTAGTTAAGAACTTTAAATGAAAATACTTAGAGGAAACTTTAATCAGAAACTTTAATTACAAACCGTACCTCTAAATACCGTTAATATTATAAAATAAGTTCAACTCGATAAAATGTAATATTCAGAGAGAATAATGAGCGTAAAAAATGAAAAAAAAAAAAAAAATAATAAAAAAAAAAAAATCGAGAGATGCAATCGAATATCACGCCACGTTATAATAAAATTCTACGCTTTACAAGTGGAATGTTTCGATTCCAAGAGAGGTTACTTAAAATCAAAAAAAAAAAAATCCTACGTCGACGGATTCCTAGCAACCAAATGCGTAATAATAACAAAATCTTGAGACGCGTGACACAGTCCACGCGGTGGAGGACGTCGCTTCAAGAAATTTTTCCACACGAACGTTCTGACCTGGCTGCTTTTGATACATTGTTGCTCGAATTGAAAAGGAGCGGTGTTGTACGTTTAGACCGTGCGTTTTAGGACTGGAACAGTGTGCACGTCACGTGCGTACACGCGGCGATGAGTTAGTGTACGTGGTGCACAGCCCGATTTATTGATCACACGCGTCGCACGCAATATACGATGCGTGTGCGTGTCGCAACGAACGGCCTACGAACTTGAAACAAATTCCTAGTCTGGAATCCTACTTGTGACATGTGCATAGAAACCGGCCTGCATTAATATAAAACCGAAGGGACACGAAATTCGACGACCGATCGCGATAGAAAATCGATGGGGATAGAAAATCGAGGAATCATTCGATAAATATGTTAACTATGTTAATGTAATGGCTAATGAATCATTTTAGGAAATCTATGACTCGAAACTTGGAATTTGGAAAATATTGTTAAAATACGAAGAATCGTTTCACTCTTCATGATATTATTTCGATTTACTTTATTTTGCTCCAATTCTCACTCAAATTTTTAAACTTTAAAAAGTTTAATAAATAATTCAGCAAATCGAAGTATCCAATAATGAAATTTTATATGACGAAATATATGTACAGAGCTTAAGATCTACATATAAAATAATCAAAGAAATCTCTTTGAATTTTATCAAGAAATAATCAAGAATACAACAATCGATCCGCAAGAAAACAGACTGTATCAAATTGAGATTAATTAAGAATCACACGATCGTGAAAACTCGTTCACAATCTTTTCATAGACGATTTAAATTCAAACAATTAAATTCATCGATTAATCATTCGAGCGAGTGAAAAAAAAAAAAGGAACGTACTTTTAAGAGCTGGAATAATAAAGTCTAATCAGAACGAGTGGAAAGGGATTTGGAGAAACGGTTGGCGACGTAACGCGGCTAAGAAACGGTAGGCAAGGCGGCAAACAAATTAACGGACGAGTCATTCGAGCGAGACGATTACGATACGATCGTTCCGCTGGAGACACAGATGAAAAAAGGCTAGAGAATTAAATTCATCGCTATGGATCAGAGCAAAAACGTGCGTTACTTACAGATCGTACGTATATAAACGGACGATGATAAAATGATACACGGCTACTGTGTGGACTCGAAACCGCGAGAAACACGAGCCTCGTGACACAAACTGGTGCAATTGCAATTCACGCAACTCTGCAACACGATTATACTGTGACCACGGATCCAATATCGCGGAAGAATTCTTCGATGTAATTTTAAACACGAATCTCGAAGGTGTATCGCGCGGAGAGAAGAAGGAAAAAAAAAAAAGGGCGACAGTACAAGCAAGGATTTTCGCGCGTCCTACTCACGAAGTCGAGTCCACGTAATTTCTATAAAGGCATGACTACGCAGCGAGAGCAGTGACGGCGTAGTTAACGACGTGGGCCGTGGTCGATCGTGCAATTAACTTTAACGAACGGCGGCCTTGCGATTAAACTTAATTAGTATCGCGGTAATAACTCGTTAATAATCAGAGCGGTGTAGCGCGTCGCGGCCATAACACGCTCATATTCTTCGTGCACGTGTGTGCACGTGCGCTCGAGACGCGATTTTAGAGCATGCATGTGTTCCATTTTCGTTTCTCTCTTTTCTTTATCTGTTTTATATATTTACGTGACTATACGTGGACCAAGGGAAGAAAGACACGACGAGAGATGTTTAAGGATGGACGTTTGAATCGGCGGAAAAGGCTCCCTCCTCCTTCCTCCTTTTTTTTAACGACGACGCTCACGACGTGAAGGCGTGTACATAGCGAACCAGCACAATCATCACCAACAATCAACGAATTGCTAACGTAAGAAAATCATCACGTATGAAATTTATCAATTCACTGGCCGTGTCCGTTGGCGGCACATTTTCCTTCCGAGCTTTTGGCCAGGGATATCGTGTACTTCGTGCGTATTTGTGTCTTCAACGATGGAACACAAAAATCGTACAACACCACCAATAGGATCCAAGTTTTCGATCGGTTCTCTTCGTGTTCCCGTTTCTCGTTTCACTTACAGACAAAGGATTATCGTTGGTTGCCAGCAAAACACATCGAGACAGCCACCATTGAGGAACTCGGGACTGAATATAAACAGACAGAGAGAAGAAAACGTTCGGAGTGTAGAACCGGCACTGACTGAATGATCGACTGACTGACTGAATGGCCGACTGGTTGACTGGCAGCGAGACGCGCGCTCTTCTCTGTTGCGAGTCTACACCGGCGAGCCACTGCGTTCCTTCTTCTTCCTTTCCGTGTGTGTTTAACAGGCTTTCCCTCACACTCGTTAGTCCTTCGTATCCCCCGGATAGACAAACGTAGCCTTCGACAAGCCTTTCCGGCTTTTCCACACGACGATACGAAATATGTATAAACTAAAGATTCCCGAGAGAATAGCGTCTCTGTCAGCCGCGTATCTATCGGACAAATAAACAAGAGGGACGCGCGAGCGACGAGATTACGATCCGCCGTGGAAAAGAACGGGTAAACCGAGAAAAGAGAACAAAAAAATATAGAAAAATAGAGCGCGCGAGACGTGCTCCGTTCTATCCCGGACTGTACTTAGTCAAACGTAGCTGACGAACAAACGTAAAAACGTGCACTACCGTCTCTCTCTCCCGGCTGCGACGAGCGAGGCGGTTAGAAACATCGAGCACGAACCTGATTGCGGGGCGGCGCACCGAATTATGGGCCGCTATGCGCTTTCGGCGGCCTCTCGCTCCCTCTCCACCATCTAACTCTCTCCTGCTCTCGCTATCGGCTTCCCTCTCGCGCTACCCGGTATTCCATCCCCACCATCGGCTGTTGACTTGCCCCCACCACATCTCCCCGAACCTCTCTGCTCGTGCTAGACGACTCACTCCCACCAGAAACGCGAACACGCTTCTAGAGTCCGCTCTATACATACACGTTCCCCTACCAGCGTTGTATTGTTGGCGCGAGCGGTAGCATTGCCCCTTTGCGCCTGACTACGAACCTCTCTCGCGCGAGAGCAACGTTGCCACCTTACGGCGTAGCCGCGGGGATGATGAACGTGGTCGGCTGAAAAGAGTGTAGCATCGTCGCCGCGCGGTGACTCGCGCCGATACGCGGCCGACAACTGGCTCGCTCGGTACACGCGTTGTCACGGATGATGGAGGAACGCCACTTCCGACCGGAAGTCACCACGCTCCTGCTCTTGTCACCAGACAGACGATCCTTTGTCGCGGTTGATCGATGATTGGATAATGCGCTAGAACAGGTAGCGGGAAAGGGTTATTTTTTTGAGAGAGAAAGGAGGAGGAACGCGAAAGGGGAAAGTTCGAGGGATGCTTCTATATTTGGAGGGAAAACGTCTTTTTTTTTGCGTGGTATAGGGTGTCTAGGTAGAAAGGATATGTTAGAAGGAACCTTGTTGGTTTCTTTAGAGATTTAGCAGTGGAATTTTCGTGGGCTTCGTTTCGCGGACTGTATTTCGCTTTAGTAGTCTTTCGTTATAGAGATATCAATGAAGACGTTCGTTTAAACTCTCATTAATTAATTATTCCACTACCCCAATGATGGGAATGATGATTCCTTTAATTCCACTGTGATGTCAATCGTTGTGTATAAAAGTTTAAAGAATCATAAACGAGCACTTCGTCTTTAAACGACCAATTTAAACAATTACCGTAGAGAAAGACGATGTTCTGATTCCAGCCACCAGCATGCAGCACTGCATAGGTATTCACGCTGTTACCATTCAATTCATAGTACTTTATTTTACGATCAATAACGTTCTATTAGAACGTGGCTATTTGTTTGAAATAGAATTCTATCTTCATCGAAAGTTGAAATTGGGATAAACTCGAGTGTTATCACTGCAGGTCGGTAAGAGAAACGAAATCACGGGATGAAATCATGAGGGGAGTGACTGTTTCTCTCGTAGAAAACTGCAGATCTGCGTTTCTTCTCTTTTGCAAGTGTACTTTCTTTCATGACACTTCTTCTACCCTCCGGCAGATGTCGGGACTATCGATCGAAGGGGGTGGTTTTATCCCTTTTCGACGCGATAAACTTCGAATACCGAAGATACGATCGAGTGAAACTTGGTATCTCGTTGTCATCGATTATTTACGAACATAGATTCTATGTATGAATCTGTTTAACTAATTACAACAATCGATAATTGTATTAATTTTCACTCAACTCAAATCGTTGCATTAAGCGTAAGTTAATAACACATAATTAAACGAAAACGGTACTCTTAATGACTATTTCAGGACAAACTTAGCTTAACAACGCATAGTCATTTGGAAATAGACTACAAGAGTGCAACGAGAGTCAATTGCAATAACGATGTTTGTAATGCAATTTATTTTAATCGTGAGTTCTTACGTTCTTACTCGACAACGCTACTTCTAAATTGAAACTTAAAACACGCCACAAAAGCGACGTTTAACGAAAGTTCATCGTTAATTCATCGTACGATACGAAAGTCTCTTCCAGCGATATGATTATCCATTCGATGAAGCATCATTGAAATCATCGTCCTCTTGTTTCTCTGCACACCACATTTGTAATTCAAATGATGAATAGAAACAATAAGAGAAATATCGATGAATTTGAATGGAACTGCAGAAGATATCGAATATATTCTTCTTCCATAACCAATCATCTATCTCCTCTCACGAATTTACTTATTTATTTATATAAATAGACGAAATCTTCAACAATTCCTAAAAAATTAAAATTCATCAATCTCGATATCCATATTATACCGCAGGAATATCCATATACAAGGCTATCAGGCGTTACTGTTACAATGAATGCGATTCAAAGCAAGGTCATCCCTTGACACTTACACCCTGCGATCCCAGAAGACCGCCAGCTCATCTCATCGAACCGCTCTCCTCCCAACTTCCACCAAATCATTTCCAACTTTCACCCACCAATCCGATCGAGTCAATCTCTATCGCCGATACAAGGTGAGATTAAGAAAAAGAAAAGGATCGGAAACGCAACCACGTGTCGAGCAACCCTCACGCCAGTGGAGAAAGGCGCGTGTTGACGCGCCGCAGCGTAGCTCGCGTGCGCTGGCGCATGCGATCGATACTTTAGACAGCCGGGGTTTTCACGTCCCCGCGCGACGTCACGATACAAGAGCCGAGCAAGACCGACTAAGGACGAGGCCGACCGAGACCGGCCGAGGTAGCGCGAGCCGCGGTAGCAGCAGCCGTCGACGCGAGCACGGCCCCAACCGTCACCGTCGTTTCGACGTCGTGGACACTTTCTTGCCGCCGGATCGTCCACGCGGAAATCCGTCGTTCGGGTCGCGAATAAACCTCGTTCCAATTTCCCCTGTAACAACCATCGAACGCGTTATTCGGGTTAATCGCTCGCGGTGGGACGTGAGCCGCGCGCGAAAGTGTGATCCGCCAGTGGTGTGCTCGTCTTTTGACTTTGGAAAAGCTCTCTATACCGAGAGACATACTGGGTCGGACGTACAAGGATCGAGTAAGTTTCACGATACGACGTGGCTTCGTGGTTACTTACTTCACAATTTCCATACGGTGTCCCGTCCATACGCTCGTGCGTTTCGAATTACGGCTCGTAACACAGGATGGATTGATCCTTTCCCCGTATTCTCTCGTTTGAGGAATCGAATTATCTGGAAAAATAAGGCGGCGATACCGTTACGATACCCAGTCGACGCGTCACCGCGTCCGACTCTCGGTCTGACTCGTGACCGTCACATTCTACTGTCGCGTAACGCGCTCCTTTACGCAATAGCCTGTGAAAAGATCGTAAGGGGTGGTGATCGAAAGGGGGGAAAATTACAGAGAGAGGGTTCGTTAGAGCATCTTTCTCCTCGAGAAATAGAGGGGACGGTTTAATGGTCGTGTCTGAGCAGAGACAAACCGCAACCCCTTTGGGTCGCAGCGCAGCTGAGCTCGACCGGGCGCGACCCACAACCCTACATTCGCGGTCTGCGGCGTGACCTAACCTCAACTCACCCCACCTTGGGCCGAGCTTCGTTGCCACCCTCTCTCCTTCGAAAGGCTGGAACGTCGGAGAGGACGGTTTACGCACCGGTTTATCGTTTGATTTCATGCCAGTTCGCGCCTCGCAACGCTCCTTCCGCGTCTCTCTCTCTTCGAGTATTGCTAGTCGAGCTAATATACCCGTGGTCGGGAGACACGTCACGTTTTGCGCTAACCACTCGAGGTAGCGATGCGGAGAGCAGCCATAACTTTCGAATGATCGGGTCTGACCTTGGCAGAGAGAAGTTCCACGTTTATCACTATCAATGGTCTTCGTCTTCCAACGGTGACACTTTAATTAATGATCATCGATTTAACGAGTCGAGGTTGGCATAGCTAATAATGTTGCAACGATCGTTGAGGTAACAGTTTGATAAAATTTGTGGCTGTTTTGTGAATGAAATTTTTGTGATATTAGAAAGAAAATTATTTTCCCGGAAAATTTACTCGAAAAATTTAATCGAGTTACACTTTTGAAAGTGTTCAATATGTATATTTATATATTATTTAAATCGTTTTGAATTACAGTTTGCGTCGATATGTTACGGTTACGAAAACATCAATTTGTCGATCCAAGCAAGAAACGTAAACTACGAAAGACATTGACGAAGACGTTGGATAGAGAATACACGAGGAAACAATGGGGGAACACGTGTCATTGTGTCAAAATAGCTTGGCTCACTAAATTTAAATTGAATTATCCGTCGCGACGTATGGTAACGGTGTGAAAATTGAATTTACATCTTACGTAGTTGCGGTAGTGTTACGCCAAAGGCTGTGAGAACTATAGGCCCCTTTATCGAATAGTCTCGCCTCTTCTTCGCGCGCGCGTGTGTGTGTATAAAAATATATCCACGGATATTTTCGCGCGGCAAACTATTCCAATCGTTAATCTGTCCCGCCAACCTTTGACCGATAAAACGCTTTATATCGTAAACGTAATCGTCGTGACAACTTTTTCATCCACCATAACGAATAAAATAACAAATATTCGCGTTCTTCCTAACTTAAAAATATCCGTGAATCTAAATCCAATCCAAATCACAATAAATTCAAGTATCAATCAGCCGGCCAATTTACAATCAAAATTCGCCACACACACACACGCGCACACATCTCGAACACCTCTCCAATCATCTGTCCAATCGGTTCGATCGATCCCGTATTAATCCCTTCAATCCGCCTTTATTTACAGATTTATTTACACTCGAAGCGCGTCATCTTCAGCCGCCACTCTCTCGCTACTTCCGTTTCTCCACTGCCGCTTCGTCGCCTCTAGCCACCCACTCGCCCCGTGAAAGCGAGCAAATAGCAAATAGTAATCTTCTACTTGCGAGAGACAAAACGCTGTAAAAAGGACGATCTTGAAATTCTTGTAAAAAAAAGCTCCTCCAAAGAAGAGGAGAAAAGAAGAATCGAAAAGAGCGAGGAGGAAGGAAAAAAGGAAAAAGAAACGAAGAGAAATAAGAGAGAGAGAGAGAGAGAGAAGATCGGAAGGAAAGAAAAGAATCGCGGAGGAGGGGAGGGTGGCGTAGAATCGTAAGTGGAAGAAGAAGAGTTGGGTCGTGAGGGGTCCAAAAAGCGTAGCGTTTGGGTGTGATGTGGTGGAGCCCCCCGAGGGGCCGCGGGGGCAGGAGGTTCGAGGC